AATATAAAAAAAGCATTGTATTATTATGTTCGCAGAATATTTATTCACTTGGCCAATAGAGCGAACTATTATTGAAAAATGTTGGTTCATGTTTGGTTGGCCATTGAAATTTTTATTATTTATAACGATACCAGATCCTAAGATTGAACGATTGAAAAATTGGTATCCGTTGACTTTTATCATGTGCATGATTTGGATTGCGATATCTTCGTATTTAGTTTCTTGGATGACAACGGTTATCGGTGATATCATAGGTATCCCCGATTCCATCATGGGTCTTACATTTCTAGCAGCTGGTGGAAATATGCCAGAAGTTGCGTCAATTGTAATTTTAGCAAGGCAAGGTAAATTCTCTATTTTTCTTTTTTTTTTTATTTTTTGTCTTTAAATATTTTTTATATTTTTATGAAACTCAAATAAATGAATGTATATATAAAAGATTTTATGTATATGTGTGAATATATGTATATGTAGGCGACGGAAATATGGCAATGAGTAATACATTGGGAGCAAATATTCTTGACATCTTACTTTGTTTGGGTTTACCATGGATAATAAAATGTCTCATGGAAAAAAGATATGTGGAAATTGAATCAGGAGCTTTAAAGTATAGTGTATTTTCGACAATTATTTGCGTAATTGTTCTTTATACAGTTATAGCATGTTTTAAATTTAAATTGAACAAGAAAGTAGGAATTATATGTTTATTTCTATATACGATATTTATAATATTTGCTATCCTTATAGAATTGAATGTTTTTTTCATTATAAATTTACCAATGTGTGATCAGTGAATTATTAATTTCTTTCATACATTTCATTCTCATACACAGTTTATGTTTACATTATGCATTTATAATTTGCTCGTTCTTTATGCGATTTTTAGATTTCATTGTTGAAAAAATTTCATAATTTTTTTCATTTTCATAAAATAAGGATTTTATTTAGAACGAAATAAACGAAAATAAACTTGTTTTTATTTTTCACCGATTTCAATCATTGATAACAATCATGGCTAAATAATATCGTTAATTAATGTAGAATGACATGTAGAATAGTGATCATATACTTTCATATACTTTGAATTTTATCTTCATTACATTAATAATTCATTGTATTAAATTTCTAATAAAATAAAAAAGTAATAAAACAACAATGTTATTATAAAATAAAAACTTTATATGTTTTAATATATAATAGCAAAAAATAAATTATTTATTCTAAAAATTTAGAATTATATAAAAATGTTTTTTTATTATATAAACGATTTTATGCGGACATTATTTAAATAAACTATTCTATTTTTATTTATTTTAAATAAATTTTTTAAATATATTTTTAATAATTTATATATAATTTTTTATTTTTTAACAGTGCAATAATTTCTTTGTTGTATTAATTTGAATTTATTAAAAAAATAAATAATTAAGTTTTTTTTATTTCGTTTTTCATATATTTTTTATTTTATATGTTTTTCTATTATTAATTCTATTATTAATTTTATATTATATTTATTTATGTTGATTCAAAACATCTTTATTGAATTTAAATCACGAGTACGGATCTTCCACTATTTTTCATTGCAGGTTTGACACATTATTTTTTAAATTTTTTGATAAAACAAAATGTAAAAACAACAAAATATATAAAGAAATTGTATTGGCAAATAATTAAAATTTGATATATTTTTAATTAAAAATTAATATATCAAATGATCTATACCTGTGAAGTGTAATAATGAATGGGATTAATAGATTTCGATTATGATACAATGATATATATACAATGGTATAATAAATGTAAAGAACATTCTAATATTTTTTGTAACAAATTATATGAAGATTTCTATTGGATAAGCAATGATTCAAGGCATTTTGTTCATATTGTCAAACTAAATTAAAATATTAAATTTAATTTAAATTAAAAAAAATATATATATATTAATTTTATGAAATGTCTTGTATAATTTCTAGATTTAAATATTTTTTATTTCTAGATTTAAATAGAGATTTTTTGAATCGATATAGAAAAACATATAAAATAGAAAAAAATAAAGAAGATTTATACGTAACAATGACATTTTATTTTTGTAATATAATATAATATAAAATATATATAATATAAATATATTTATAATATAAAATATTACAAAAAAAAATTATATGAGTTAAATTATATGAGTCACAATGAAGAAATATTGTGATATTAAAAAAATAAAGAATTGCATATAAATTATTAAAAATATTAAATATTAAATATTAAATATTATGAAATATTATATTAAATATTATGAAAGTTTATAAAAAATAAATAAAAATTAAAAATAAACAAATTTAATAATTTGTATTTAATTATGTGTAAAATTGTCTATAATAAAGAACAAATTTTATTTTAAAAAACTTAAAATAAATAATTTATTTTTATTAATTATTTTCTATATTAGAAAAGCAAAGAAAAAAAAAGAAATAACATTTGTAATAACATTGTTTTTATTTTATTACATTTTTGTTTTATTAGATGTTAATACAATACTATTGACATATAATAAAGATAAAATTCAGAAGTAATAACATTGTTTTTATTTTACTACATTTTCGTTTTATTAGATGTTTAATATAATAATTTAATAATAATTTATAACAATAAACTATTGACATTTAATAAAGACAAAATTCAGAGTGTTTGTAAATATATGGTTACTATAGATAAGTATTCATATTAATTATGAATATTTTTTTAAAAGAATACTAAATGCTAAGGATTAATCTCTTCTTATTCGTTAATTTCGTTAATTCTATTAGTTCAAAAGAAAAAGTTAATTCCTGAAGGTTTAAGTATTAATTCAATATATTACTTTGTGATATTTTTCTCACGTAGTAAATCTATCACCAACATTTGTGTATAATATCCTTAGCATTGTATCCATAATATTATACTCATGTTAATGATAGATTTGTTATTGAAATTTGAGTGCTAAAACTAACAATTAAAGATGGATCAGTTAAAAATAAAAATAAAAAAGAAAATACAAATTAAAATATAAAAGTGAAATGAAGAGAAAAGAGAAACGCTTAAAATAAAATATATATATCATAATATATGTCAATTATAAATATATATTTATCATATTATATCAAGATTGCACGTCATTTAATAATACGATACAATTTAAAAAATTCTATTGTATCATAACTATATATTCATATCAAAAAAAAAAAAAAAGAATATAAGAAGAGGTGGAAATAATAATGTATTCATGTCAGAAACAAACAAAATAACGTTTTCCATCTAAATAAATTTAGTAATATATTCAATCATTTCTTTAATGTTCATATTCATATCTTTATACAAAATTTCAATATGTACGATGAAACGTTTACCCGATAATATTGATACATAATGATATAATATGCGTAAAAAAATAATAAAAAATATAGTATGTATAAAAAAAATAAATTAATATTTTAATAATTATGAATTATGTTAATATAAATAATAAATATATGTTTTCAATATAAAAAATAATTTATTTTTATTCAAAAAATGAATTGAAAAAATGTTCCGATATGGTAATTAATCAAAACAATTTATCATTAATGTACATGTAATTTGTTTTGATCAAAATTACAAATTGAAAAAAATAAATTCTATTTTTCTACGTACACATATGTGCATACATATATGTAAACTTATATTTAACTAGCAAGATGATAATAATAAAGAAGGTGTAATAGAGTAATGCACAAAATAGTATGTTTCTTTTATTTCAAAATAATTTCCTAAATACTTAATACATTGCTTAGAATGTATAAGTTTTCGAAAAATTTTGAAAATGTTTTGTTTTATGAAAATGTGTTTTACAATCATCTAATATTACCTTTATTTATTCAATGAATTATTTCGATCGTAATTTTAGGGAAAGAAAGAAGTCGGTAGGATAGAAAATACATTCAATACATCACAAATAATTTGGATAATGATTAATAATCCCGTTTTTGGAGGATTTTAAGATTTTTTTCAGTATGACAATATAATTGTATTTTGAAAAAATAAAACATTTTACGAAATGTATAAAAGATATACATTTTGAAATTTTAAATAATATATTTGCATATATGATTGATAAAACTATACTTATGTTAGATATTTTTATTTGAATTAGATCTTATTATATCTTTTTTTTTATCATAAAAGTATATAAAAAATATAGATAGGTAGAAGACATGTTAATTTAAAAAAAAGTCACTATTTGATGAGCATTTATTTCCATTTTATGATAATTGCTAAAAATACGCAATAAATAGAGATATATATATAATATATATTAATATAATATATTAATAATATTATTATAATATTATATATTAATAATATAATTAAAAAAATTAATATAATATTTATATATATATATATATGTATATAATATATATAATATATATAATATAATGTATAAATATAACTCTCAACTTTATATATATAATGCGATTTTAACTGAATTTGATAACATTATATATTTGATTTATACATGTAGTATATATTACTTGTTAATTAAATTTTTTTCTACTTAAATATTTTTTTAATTAAATACTTGATTGATATATTATATCAATTTATAGATTTTATTAAGAATAGATAGAGATTCGTTCGATTTAATCACATAAAATNTAATATATAATATAATATATAATAATATATATATATATAATAAAATATTAAATTTATTATAATAAATAATATATATATATATATTTGTTTCGAATATAACTTTTCTTGAAGATTTTCAATAAAAATATCGAATCTTATATCAATTTTTTGTATATGTATGTTCTATCTATCTATTTATAAAAGGCATATCATTTAAAATAAATACATCTTGAATGAATATCAATCTTGAATATGATCAATTTAAAGAATCGTTAAAAGTTAAATAATGAATGAACAATCTTGCTTTGAACATAAAGTTAATAAAAATGTTTGAGAAGTATTAAGATTTTTATCAATTTATATAAAAGATTTATCTATTTATTTTCAATTTGATTTATAATTAAATATATCATATCTTAATAATTTTTATATTGCTCTTATTTTCCGACCTCTCTCTTTACCTTTACTTTTTTTTATTTTTTTTTTTTCATTTCTATTTATTCTTTCTTATCTAGCTTTAAATCATATTTTATCAATTATTATTGATTACACTGAGATTATTGGCGCGGAACACAATTGAGGCATTTCGTGTATTTTAACGATCGTTCGCACCATAATTATTTAACAACAAAATGATCGACGTTTTGGCAGTTTAATTTCTTTCTAAGATTTCAAATTCTTGAAATTGTTGGATTCTCTGAAAAATTTGCATGACAGTTTTCTAATTAATTGCCATGTTTTTGAGATCATGATAAATATATATGATCTCGTCTCTGTATCTTTATTTAATGAATTTATTTATATTATGAAGTTATTATATATAATATATTATGTTCTGATAAAAATTTGAGTGGAAAATATAAAGATTGTAATTTGCATGAAAAATCGCTAAATAATTAGCGTGATTAGTAAAAGCTTAGCTACAACTTAGCCAGCGTAATTGGCATATTTATAGCATATTCATATATCAATGATTAGTATTTTATCAATTTTTTTACCGATAGTTAATCTCATAGTTACTGAGACCAATCTCACCAACGAATATGCCATATTATCTGAGTGTGTATGTAATATATATATATATTATATTCTTCTATTTTAATACACACTACAGATCAAAGAATCGCTAAATGTCAATGTAATTGTAGCAATTAATAATTATGAATATATTAAGTAAAGTATTATATACTTACAATCGTCAATGATCGGAACTTCCTATTATTTCATCATTTTTATATTTTATCGGAATTTGATTAAATTCATTCGAATTTAATTCAAATTTTATCCAAGTCATTTCTTTCTCCTCATCTCTTTTTCATCTTTCAGTTATTATTTACTTCATTTTTTTTCACATTCTATTCTCATTTTTATTATATATGCATAAAATGTACACAAATTTCATCTTTATAGGTACTTCATTTTATCCAATTTGTGAATGATATAATTTGAAAATGGCTTTATTAATTTACGAAGTTTTACGCAGTATCATGTCATTAGGACGGTTTTCATTTAAAGAATCAAATGCAAAAAAGACATTGCTCTAAGACATTGCATATAGATACGTTATAAATACTCATAAGAGACAGCGGATAGTTGAACGAATCCAATAAAAGTAGAATGGAAACGTTCTTATATCACACTTCTGCTACATGTACGTAACAATCTACAAAATCTTTATTCCTTATCATTATTTTTTTTTTCCGAGTATTATCACGTATTTTTTCTTACGTGAAATTTTATATAATTTTTATGTTTATCGCTGTTCGTGCTTTCATATATCTATTTATTATCTATTTATCTATTTATTTACATACTTATTTAACAACTTACCTTAAGTACGCCTATTTATTTATATATTTATTCGCCTATACCACTTATCTATCCTACATAATTTATTCGGTAAATTAGTTAACTGGCAAAATAACTAGTCAACTAATTCGAACTGATCTGTAATTATGAAGGGCATAGCAAGAATTATTTACGTGACATTTGATAAAAAAGAATCGAATAAATGATTGATAATGAAAGAAACAGTAGTAATGAAGTTTGAATTAATACATTGAAAAATATATCAATAATGTATGAGATTACATGAATTTGCCACATTTCATTCAACTTATTCTTATGATGTACACATTTGATTTTTTTGAAGCACAGATAAAATGCGTGAAAGAATAAAATAAAATGATATAAAGAACTTTTTCAAAATTTTCAAAATGGAAGGAAATAACTATACTATCTTACATAATTCTAATAAAGAATCTACAATTTTATCTAATTTCGAATGAATACTTTGCATAGGAAATTGTGAATAAATTCATAAAGAACTTATCATTTTTCTTTAAAACGTAAACTTATAATCGAATAATTTTAAATCTTTTTTTTTTATATTTAAATTCATCTATTCCAAGAAAATTGCAAAAAGAATAATCGTATATATATGCATCAAGGAATGAAAATTATGTTTGGAATTTATCTTGCAAATATTTCTCGCTAATTATTTATAATTTTAATTGCAATTGCAATCGTATCTATAAGTATTGTCGTTGATTCATTTTTACGTGGATATAAGTACATAATAATGTACATGTATTCGCGTTTGACACGTTGAATATGGGACAACGTGAACTAATAATTAATATTTTTTTCTTTTTCGTTTAACTTTATGTGACCTTTCTTGACACAATTTTGTCATCTTGAATTCAATTTTAATCGATCCAATTTCATTCGATCAAGATCAAATTATGTCTGAATATATATAAATATATCTAACATTGTTTCATTGTATCTCGCAAAATGGTAGTTTGCCGGTTAGTTCTTTAGTTTGTTCTTGATCTTGACTATTAGCACCTTCGCTTTTTGGGCTACCTCCATCCTCTAAAGAGCCCCCACCACTTCCGTGGGGGCAAATTGATTGTCATCTGAGTGCCAATGTTGAAATCATCGGAGGTCGCGATGGTTTATTATCGAGAATTCTTTCAATTTCGTTCATTATGTTGGCATTTAATTTTGGAATTAGCTGAAACAATGTTTATTGTCATACGTTTTGCACAATAAAAATTCAATTTGAATTTATTTAAGAATGTATTTTATATTTTACCTGTAAACTTTGAAGACTCTCGTATAATTGATCAATGTTTGATGCACCGAGAAGAAGGCACTGAACACTTTCATTTTTTAAAGACCATGCAATAGCCAATTGTCCAAAGGAACAGCCGAGTCGTTCGGCAAGTGCACATACGTCTCGTAGCTTATCTGAATATTTTCGTGTTTCGTCATCGGCTGATTTCTCTTTCCAACCATATTCCTGCTAGAATACAAAAAAAGAATATATAAATAATATTTTTTATACATATTTATACATTATACATTATATATTACATATTTCTTTTAATGCTTAATTCTAATTATGTATTATATATCATATTTTTACATAATATAATATACATAATATTATTTTCAAATATAAATATTATGAAAATAAATGTTTATTGATATTAGTAATTATTTTAGGTTTAAAAAAATTTTCAAATATGCTTAAAATTTGTTTAAAAAATTTGTTAATTAAGAAAATTTCGTTTCAAAACTGTACTTTTTTATTATTACAAAAAACATTGTAATAAATATGTGATTTTTATTCAAAAATCTTTTTATTGTTTTTAAACTTTTGAATGGTAATATACATATATATAATTTTTTTAATATGCAAATATATATATATAAAATATAACAGATTATATTAGCTATATTAGCTAGAAGTACGTACTTCTTTATACAAAGATTGTGTTTCGTCTTCTGTCCAACTGAATGACGAATACTTGTTCTGGAAGTAAAAAATAAACGTTGCGAGAGAGAGTCGGTGGCAATAGTCATCTTTCTACATATTCTTCCATCGTCGTTAACGTGTTGTATATGTATGTATTACCTACATATATTTATTAAACCAACAGTATTCTTGTATATGTGAATTACCAATTTTTCTACATTATAAAAAAATTATCTTTTTGAACGTTACCTTATAGGAAGATCTCGAAAAAAAAGAGACACCACAATCTTCAGGCTTTGAGGAAACCATACCAATCGTTACTGTAGACCACGCCATCAAACCAACACCTAAAATAAATAATTTCTTTGGTAATTATTTGAAATAAGAAAATCCTCACTAATTTCGATGATTTTTGGATATGTTTTATCAACATTTTTAATAAATTTTTCTTTTGCATATTACCATCGATCGATTTTTAATTTTAGAAATATTTGCAAAAAAAAATTATTATTATTATTATATAATTATATTTCTTTTATCTGTATGTCCGCAGTTGCATATAAACATGTAATAACCATTTATTTTCTTATATTAATTTAATTATATAATTATATTACATTAATTTAAACACATGAAGTGAATGAAATTGTAAAAAAACCTATTTTTTCATGAATTATAATAAGTTTAAAATATTTTAAATCCAAAGCCGAATTTAAACGAATTTAAAGAATCTATAAAAAATAAAATATAAATTTTGGATGATCGCTATTATAATGATCGAAATTCTAACGATAGATACCAAAAATTGATATTCATTGTAACTTCATTCATTGTAATTTCAGAATTGAGAATTATTTTATTTGAGAATTATTTTATATTTTATTTTTGCAGTCCGCGAATTCGAAAAAAGGAATGTTTAAATTTGATATAAGATATTTTAAGGCATAACCCATAAGCAAATAGCTTTTTGACCGATCTATTTGTTATATATTTTGGATCCAATATTTATTAGGAACAATAAATAAGTGGTGATCATGCACATTCAATCACTAATGTATATATACATATGAAAAAAATTCTATGTAACAATCTTTATATTCTAATAATAATAATCTTTTTTTGTAAATATCTTGAAAAAAACGAGCGGCAACATGCAAAAGAAAAAATTGTTCAAAATCTTGTTTTTTATAATATCCAAAATCATTAAAAAATGAGAATTTCCTTATTTCGAATAATTATTATCTCTTTTAAAATTGTTATGTTAAAGTGATATATTTTCTATATATATTGAATTTATATATTTGTGAAATATTTTTGAAAGGTTGATTCTAAAAATCAAAACAAATACAAAAATTAAGATTTATTTATTAAATTATAAGCAATTTATGTTCGCATCAAATATATATATAATATATGTGAAGCGAATATATATATAATATATGTGAATGAATAAAATAGAATGAGAGTTTTATCTCTATCATTGTATCATTTTAATCAATTTTCATTTTATTTAATTTAACATAAAATTATTTAATAACTTAATAAAATTTCAATCGATATTACATACTAACTTTGTTTTGATTTTTATAATCAACATTTTTACGAATATATTAATTTTTTTATATATTATATATATTATATTTTTTATATATATTACATTATATGTATAATTGAATAAAATGGATAAATAAACATATATTTATTCCAATATAATTACCGATTTTATTATATAATTCTGGCATATAAAGTTCTGGTTTTTCTCTATAAAATAAATGATATTCGGCTTGTTCTACGATCGGTGTGACACAATTAAATTGTCGGCAATTCGTGTAAGCTTCCATAATTTCGACTGGAGTCCAACGAGATGTTCCCCAATACATTACCCATCCTTTGCTTATTATGTAATTCATAGCACGTACTATCTCTGAAAAAAATAAAAGTTAGAAATATTAATTTGCAATCATATTTTTAATTATTTAATAATATTGATATTGGTGTGTAATTGCAACGAACCTTCCATGGGACACATTGGATCTACTTTATGAATCATTACAATATCGATATATGATAATTGTAATCTGACTAAAGATGCTTGGACTGATTCGATTATATGTTTCCGTGATAATCCACGACCTTCCGCTCTATGATCAAGTTTCATAAATTATAAAATTTTACATATTTTTTAAAATATTAAATAATATTTGTTCAATTGTTCAATAATTTGACAAACTGACAAACATTTTTCATTTTTAACAGATTAATCTTTTTATATTAAATATATATAATATAATACATACATATTTAAATGTAATAATTTCTTTAGAATTTTCTATAATATAATATATTTATGATATATATTTTTAAAGAACTATTTTTAGAGATCAAAACAAATAAAAAAGTTGATATATAAAAATATAGCTTATTTATTAAATTATTTTGTTGTAACAATTGTATTTTGTTAGATGAAGCAAAACAAAAACAGATCAAATCAACTCGGTGGTATAACAAAGATAAAGCTATATTACTCTATTTCCTTGTTTTATCTAATACAAATTTAAATTATTAATAATTTAATAAATAATCATTTCTATTTTTATTTCTATTTGTTTTAATTTCTAGAATTGATCCAAATGATATTCCATAATATATTAACACTTTGTATATATCTATAACTTCAGTAATAATTTGATTAATACTTACTTCGTATTCCAATATATTTTAGTGGTAACAACGTAACTTGAACGATTCCAAGCACGACGTAATAAAATTCGTCCAAATTGAATTTCTGCTCTATGACCGCTATGGGCTTCGCTTAAATCGAACACATTTATTCCACTTTCGTAAGCTAGCGCAACTACAGCTTCTGCTGTTTCCTCATTACTGCAACTTCCCATGCCAAAAGTTGTCCATGTACCTAAAGATATAAAGCAATTTTGTTCATTCAACCGTTTTCAGTTACCGTATATGATTTAATTTTTCATTTCTAACAATTATTATGATATTTCCATGTTTTTATATACGGTTTTCATACACAGTTCAAAAATAGATTTTAAATCATTACATATACTTACTTACCTCTTTTTATTATGACTATTATATAATCCATGAATATGCTTAACTACAAAATTATAATTTATTATCTCTTACATATAACAATCAACTTTTTCTTTCATTGCTTTCTTTCCTTCATTACTCACCTAAGAAATCTATTCTTAAATCTTATACATTCATAAACATATTTGTTGTATGAATGTTATCTTAAATTAAAGCTTCAAATAGCATTTTTTATTGCATTTTCTATATACAATTTTGATATTTAATGCAGTTTCGGATACAATAACAATGATAACAACAATGACAAAAATAACAATAAATATAAAAATATAAAAATATGCATATCGTTATATTCGTTTTTTTGACATATATATATACATTTTTATTTATTTTTTATTTATTGCATGAATTTGATTAATATCTATTCAACGAATCGAGATTATATACAATTATAAACGAAATATGTATCTATATACATATAGATTGCATTTATTGACTATCATGAATTGTCGCTATTATTGATTCCAGTATAAAATTTATATCATTTCATAAAATAAATCAAATCATTATAGTTGATTTTTTATTTAGTTCTTATTCTATATTTATATTTATTATGTTATTATTTATTATTTTTATTATGTATTTATATTTTTATTTACAATAAATAATCTGATAATAATAATGATAATAATAATATAATAAAATTTCTACAATAACTATAATTGTTTGAAAAGTTCATAATATATCCTTGTTTTACTTAATCACATGCATTTTATTTAAAACAGTTGATTTGTTGAATAGATTTTAGAAGAACTACATAAAAAGCTTCATCAACAAATTCCAATATGAAAAAAAAACAAAAAAACAAACAAAAAAGAAAATAAAAATATAAACAATAGAAACAATAAAGAAAAAAGTTCAAAAAATTGCTGATAGATCATAGAAAAGCATAATTTTCGTTTTATTCTATAGTATAAAAAAATATTATTAATATATTATTGGCAAAATATTTATAGATACTATACTTTAAGAAAAAGATAGCATACATTAAGAATAAAATAGATGGATAATCACGAATTTTGTTCGTTTCTACGAAAGTGGAGGAAAACATTCAGCGTACCTAATCCAACATTGGAAACACGTAGACCGCTTTTGCCCAAGTTGCGGTAGCGAATACCTGGCGAAGGATGCTGTAAGCGTTGCGCTTGTGCGGCAATGCAGTTAGTCAGTAGCTGTTCCTTCGTTCCAGCGGTATTACTACAGTGTATACCAGAATCCACAGTACCACCACCGCCACCGCCACCGCCACCACCACCGGCACCACCACCGTTGAATTCTTCCATGCAATCTAGACTCGCTATAGGTGCACGGCAGCTGCGCGTATAAAATATATGGAGTATTAATAGAACACGATCGATAGAATACTCGATACAACCATATAAACATTTATAGATAACATTCATAGCATTTTATGAAATTTCTATCATTCATCTATGATACGCTTAAATTAAAAATTCATAGATCTATAAACATTTTTCCTTTTCATTATATATATAGTCGTTACGAATTGATTTCATATTATCTTATCGCTTTTCCCATATACCGAGAATCCAATTTCGAAAAAAAATTTTATCATAACGAAGTAGAATTCTTAGATTCGAAGATTAAATATAATATGTAATATTTACATATTATATTTATTATTATTTATTATTATCATTGTTCTTATTATATATATGCATGCATGTGTATGCATGTATATTGAAATATAAAAGATAAATAAATAAAATAGATAGATAAAATAGATAAATAATTTTAACTATAAAAATAAATATTCATTAATTCAATAATTGACAATAATTATTTTAATGATTAATTGAGATTGTTAATTTGTATTAGTTTAATTATTAATATGTAATATTTGTTTCTTATGCTTCATGACCTTTTAAATCAATTAAAATATCAATTGTTATATTTTTAATGATCATGACAATGAATCTGTTTCATGATTTTATGATTGATTTATAATATCGATATATGCGATATGCATATATACATACATATGTATATATATATACATACATATGTATATATATATACATACATATATATATATATACATACATATATATATATATATAGATGTTAATAAAGAAAAAAAATTAAGAATAAAAAATAAAGAAACAAAGAATGAAAATGAATAATAAATAAATAAGTAATAATCTATTTACGTAACTATACAGTTACAGTAGTTACATAAATAGATTACATACTATACAAATATGTATATCGTTATCGATCAAGAATTCACTCACCGATAAATAGTAGGTAGCGGATAGTAGTCATCGTCCTCCATGCTACTATTTGTATTCGCATTGTTATTCGTATCATTTCCTGCCGTGGATGCATTGCCAAGGTTACATAACATTAAACGAGACATTTCTTTATATCTTCAATATATTTGTATACGCATACACACACGTATACGTACGATGTAAACGGAAAATTTTTGAAGAGAATAAAAATTGCAAAAACGCGAAGATGAAAGATTTAATTGAGAATGATTTAATCAAACAATTTCGATTCAATTCAAATTTGATTTCGCTTATTTTTTCGAATTTAGAGACAAATATTATAAAATATCATTTCATAAATTCTATATTCATATTTGTTAACAAATTAATAAAATTCGTGAATCAATTTCCTGATTCTAATTCTAATCTTAGTCCGGCGATTAAAAGTTTTATTTTCAGAAAGAAAAGTTTTCTCACACAATTGATAAAACTTAAATATTAAAGAGATGGAATTATTGATATACGTCGAGAAGGATTATTATATCACTGAACTGAATAGAATGGAACATTGAGCGATTCAGTTCGACGAGTCAATCTATATTTTTGAATTACGATATATATATGTACATATATATATATATATATATATCGTATCGTATATATATATATCGCATTTATCGTGCGTTATGTAGGCACTAGTTTTTCTTTACTTTTAAAAAAATATTTAGGCACCACAGTAAAGAACATAAGTATATAGATATTGTTCGCGATTAATTTCATACGTGATATTGCAACATTTTGTAAAATGTCTTTCTGGTTCAATCACAATGTTGGTCAAACACTATAACACAATGAATATTTTGTTTTAAAAGATAGACGTCGTTACCTAAAAACGAACGATGGTCGATATAAGTATCGATATGTAGTACAATTGCTGGCGTGAGAAATAGGGCACAATAATTATTAACCCCAAATTGGATATTAACAATGTCACTAAAAATCCATTTATAGATTATTTTCTGGTCCAACTGGTAACTTTGAAAATCCAACAGATATAATTTTATAGAAAAAAATTGAACGATCTTAATCTTAATTTTTATAATAGTGGTATTTTAAATTCTGGTTCCATTTTTTCTTTTTTTTCTATATTTCTGTTTAGAATTCCAATTCCAACTTTTTATCACTTTTAAATTTCAATCTTGATTTTGATATCGATCTAATTATTTATCTGATTTATAATTATGAAATATATGATAATTTCAAATCAATTCTCATTGCTATTCGCAGTATAAATATAAATATTCTTCATAAAAATATTCGATGCAAATAATTATCTTTGTGATCCTTCGTTTTAATTGTTGTTTCAAATCGTACTTGCCTTTCACGATGTGTCTATCAAAATACCATTTTCTTAATGATTGCTCTTGTGTAACAATTTATGAAGATATAGATGACATATTTCTTGAAGAATAATAAAAAGAGAAAAATGTCAAAAAAATAAAAACACCGAAACGTAGAACAAAAAAATTTATGAAAATATTAGGATGCTATTGTAGAGACGGCGAGTGTTATGCCTCCTACGTGGTAAGCAACACTGCACAACTTCGATATACTGTGACTCCCTCCTTTACAGCAGCTACGAGCTACGAGCGTGCGTGCCTTTGCGTCTGTTTCGCTACGGGCATCTTCGAGACTATAATGCGCGCGTGCGCACTCGTGTACCGATTGCGCATCACTCGTGGCTTGTGCATCACGCCATGTTATCCCTACCGTTCTTCCTCGATTTCTAACAGGGGGTTGCGGTTGTTTTCAGAGCGCATGACGTTACCGTCGTCGCATTCAATGCATTCAGCGCATTCGCCGCATTTGCCGCATCGAGCCGCTTTTGGAATTATATCTCTCACTCGCTTACCATTTGTTCCATATCTCACTCATTATTTAATTCCTTATTATATTTTTATTCATCTTTTCCGACTTTGATTTCGCGCAGAATATAATTGATTCTTTGTCATCTTTCTTTTTATTTTCTTTTGCTTATTAGTTCGCTTATTCACTCAAAATTTAATGTTTCATCAATAAATTCTTATTCAATATAAATATATTTTAATTATCTTATGTTTTAGTTATGTAAATATACATAATATACAACAAATTTATTCTAAAACTTTACTAAATATATAACATACAAATGTACTATAGAAATATATAAGAAATCTAAATATATGTAAAATATCTAAATATATGTAAAATACATATTTAAAATTCATAATTGTGAACATTAATGATATAAGGATTCATTGCTAGAAATTGTAACAATAATTATTTTTGCGACACCGCATTGCGGATTTAGCGTGATGGCATGCAACTGACCCCTTTGAATAGTTTACAGTTACGTTGTTCGACCTACCAACTTAATACGCGCTCGACTTGTTGTTTAAAACAGGAGGATATCAAAGATTCATTTCTTAATATATTTGATTCTTTGTTACGTTTGTTTAACACATGTGCTATATCTGACGATTATATTTAAATATAAAGAACATTAATGTACTGCAAAAATTTATCAAATCCACACACTATAAAGATTTTGATTTTCTATATGTTTATTATATTAAAACATGTCGAAATGCTAAGATAGGCAAATGTATATTTAAAATTTATCTGTATTTTATTCGAAAAAATAAAAATGCTTTTCGAATCATTTCAATCTTCCAAAAGCATAAGGCAATTATTTATTTACTTACTTATTAAAATTCCACAACGTGTTCCGACGTGTTTCTGTTCCTTGTTGAAACGAATCTGCGCCGCATAACAGTCGTGTGCTTTTCTCAATTCACAGATCGACTCTTTTGTTGAAATCGTGCCAAAGATTTCGGAAATATTGATTACAATTTCTAACTCATAACTATATTGCAATTGTATAATTTTTTTATTTTTTTAATTTTATTTATCAATAGAATTTTCGAGTTATTGACATTTTTTTTAATAAAAATCGCAATAGGATTCAAGCGAAATAATCGATTATTTTTTTTTTTTAATAACTTATTACAGTACTTTATTAAACTTGTTAAGTTCTTAGAGATTACCTAAATATACATTCTGCGACGAATTTCAGTATACGTCAATTTTGTTTTATCAAACAACCTTGATATCAGTTCGATATGTAATTATCTTTCGTAATTTTCTTAGTTCGATAATCAATTATCATGGTGTTTCGCAACAATAACCGATTATCGAAATTTTATTTAATTACTCATACTTAATAACATACGTATCTATATTTAATGCTTGATGTACATATGTATTGTATTCTCGAAATGAAATGTAAAAGCGGCAGTCTTTTCTACGCTATCGTATATCGTATTGCATATGTATATTTACATATGATGTTTAGTACAATATACTTAATATATATATGTATTATATTTTTATTGACACATTATTCTTTGTTTCTTTATCATATTTTGCTATATTTTTTTATAATTAAATTTTTTTATCGAAATTTAAGATAGAATTATAATCTTATTTTATTTAATATTTTTAATAATATTATTATTATATTATAATCTTGTTTTTTCTAAATCCAATTATATATAATTATACTTTTCACTGTTATAAATATGTGAATATATCTTCGAAATATATATGCACAAGTGACAAACTTTTATTTATTTATTTACCAAAAAATGAAATTTCCTTCTTTTCTTTTTTCCATTTACATTTGATATTTTCTAATTGCGATAAAAATTAATATTATTCACAATAAATCAAATATCTAAACGATAGCGCAAGAGAAAGAGTTTGAGAAATGAAGATGATAAAAAAATGCTTGTTATATTTTGATCATAATGAAAAACGGATAAAGTATGAAAACCGAATGATAATGATCATGAATAAAAAACAAAAGAAAAACAAAAAAAAGTGCAAAAAAGACAAAAAATTGATGGAAATGAAACTATGAATTTAAAAGATAAAAGATATGTATAATTGGTTACTGATTATAAAGGAAAGAATATGATATGGAATAGCGAAGCCTCGAAGTAAAAGGCTGTTTCCTTGAGAAATGAGACGGGAGAAGAAATAGTTTTATATAATGTAAAACAGCATTCTTCAATTCACAATGTTGTTCGTAAGTTCAAGAGAACGTACGAAAGTCAACTAAACACCGTATCAAATATCATTAAGCAAGTCTACTTTTGATTTCAGATCATTTGACCGTCCTCTGGCACGTGGGTAAATTTACCCTGAAGAATACATTGAGTTCTATCAATGAGGCTAATATGAGGAACACAGCATACATACATAAACAAGCTCGGCCGACTTTTCTATCGAGCTGAAACTTATTTGAAGCGAAAGCGATGTAAAGTAACATTAATGTCGACAACAACGAAATAGCACTATATTCAAGACCACCAGAATTTATACTGATATAATGTTTTCCTGGTTGTGTTGGTGAAAATGAAGATTTGATTAACCATGGTAAACCCAAACACAATAATATATCGAAAGTATTCGATCCTATCGAGTTGCTAATACCCATTGAACCATGTCCTGAAACAAAATAAATGGAAAAAATTTAATGTAAGAAGTTTCATTATTTTTATATATTTTTTTTTTTTGATACTATTGTAGAATACTAATAATGAATTATCTTTTTCTCATATTCGCACATATTCACTTTACCTTGTTTTGCTACTATTACGCTTGATACAGCCTCTGGCACGCTAGTACCGGCAGCGAGAAAAGTAATACCCATAACGGAATCTGGTATTTTTAGAGTGTCTCCTGAAACAAAAATTATAATTTTTTCTTTTCTTGCATTTTTTCTTTTAGCTTTTCTTTAATTAAAAAAAATTAATTTTTTTTTGTTTTTTTTTTTTTATTTAATATCACTTTTTTTATTACCAATTATAGTGATCATCCATGCGACCACATAACTTAAGGATCCAATCCAAATAATGCACATAAGGAATGTTATCGGAAACCAATTCTTGAATCGTGGTTTTTCGCAATCTGGTATTGTACACATAAAAATCAAATGAATCGGCCAAGTCATAATCCATGCTGTTTTTCTTATCCATCCAGCTCTTGCTGGCCATACCAATAATTCGTATTCATAATCTGAAATAAAAGAATAAAAGAATGCAATTATTTTATTTTTTTCTTTCTTTTTTCTTTTTCCTATTTTAACGTCATCTTCGATTTTTTTTATTTTTCTTTTGTATTCTTTCATTTTCTAACCTTCCCTTTCCCTCTTCCTTCTTATGTTATTATTCATTTTCTCTTCTCAAAAGGCAATATTGAAAAAATTTAAATATTATATATAACAA